CCCTGGTAGAGTGCTGTGGCAGCATCACACAGTTCACAGCAACCTCCAACTCCTGGGCTTAGATGATTCTCTTGCCTCAGCTTCCGGGTAGCTGGGACTACAGGTGCCTGCCACAATGCCTGGCTATTTTTTTGTTGCAGTTTGGTCGGGGCTGGGTTTGAACCCCCCACCCTCGGTATATGGGGCCGGTGCCCTACTCACTGAGCCATAGGCACCACCCCAAATAGTATTCTTATTTTTTAAATGAGGAAACCAGTAGTAGAATTCATGTATAGGTTCTTTTCACTAATCTATACTGCCACACTGCCAAATGATACTTTGCCTTATAGAGAAGATGCAATTAATATCTAACCAGGAAGAACCTCATGGCCTGAGAAGTTTAAAAAACTTAAACTTCTACATATACATATACACTCATAAACATACACAAACAAAAATATAAGCAGTGACTAATGTAGATGGTATTCACTTAACCTTATAGGTTAAATTAGCACGGATTTGGTCTCCCTCTGTTTTAGAAGAATATTTCATAAATATTTACAATGTAGAATGAATGCCATAAATTTCGGTATTTTTAGTTTTGAACATGCTCGTTTACTTCCCTTAAAAGTTACATTTCTGGCTTTAATGGATAGAAGATTAGAGTTCCTTCGCGGCTATGAAACAAGCAATTTGATCTCCTGTATTTCAAAATACCGTATACTAACCTCCCCTAAAGACTGGGGGGGAAATCAGGTCTACTGGATTATAAACCACTATCTTTTATCCTGAGAGGCTTAATTTGGTTCAGACCCAACTTTAATGTTACAGGCAGAGATCTAGATTGGTTTTGAGTAATTGAGTGCTATTCTAGGTTCTAAGTTTCTCCAAAGTTTCTCTCAGTTTCTTGGATAAATTAACCACTTGGTTTCAGCACCTTGCTTACATTTGAGCCTCTAGAAAGATTACGAGAACTTTAACATGTATTTGATAGAATAAAGGGATATGGCTGATAGTCTATTTAATACCTTGGAGTTAGGGGACTGTGAAGTTTTACAGTGTTTTTATTCAAAACTAATATAAAAAAGACATCTTCGGACTCTGATTTCTTTTTTAAATTAAATCATAGCTGTGTACATTAATGCATTTATGGGGTACAATGTGCTGGTTTTATATACAATGTGAAATACTTAGAACAAACTAGTTAACATAGCCTTCACCGTACTTTCTTAATTATTGTATTAAGACATTTATACTCTATACTTAGTGGATTTGACATGTACTCTTGTAAAATAGGCTTCAGGTACTCTAGTTTAATTTAACTGAAGTTGAACTGTACCCACAAAAACATAGGTATGTTCATAATTTAATAAAAGAAGAATTATTTAGATAACTTTTTGTTTCATGTTCCCCTCTTAGAGTTGCATGAGCTAGCATGATTTTATTTTGGGGGGAGATACTTGCTTTTAGATAAAAAAAGAAGAAATAGAATAGGCGGAAATTCAACACAAATTGCTGCCACAAAACAAAAGTGCTAATCAAGTTAAATCAACCCCTGTAATGTTATTGAAAAGAAAACCTCTCCTCTCTCTCCCGATTTGAAGAACAAGCGTTTTCCCTGCCAAGAAGACTGACTTTAAATGGACCAGCTGTCTACATTAGGAACATAGGGTTGCTAAGGTGACTCTGCTGTTTGGGGAAGAATGCAGCAGAGAGGCGAGTTCTTGACGTGTGCACGGAGGGGAGGAATGTGCTGTGATGTGCATCCTTTCTTCTGGTCACATGCTCGCAGAGTGCTGTGTGGGCAGTGTGCAGAAACCACAGGCACTGGAGCTTGCATGTGCTTAAAATCATTTTATTCTCGTGTGAGCCAGGCTTACAGTTCAGATGGAAAATATCCACCTTGTGTGTGTGGCAGGGAGAGGGATAAGGGGAAGGGGGCTTTGATGATAGAGGAAATGGGAATGATTATATTTTGCTTTATAGACATATATGTTCATTTTTTTTAAAATTATCTTTCTAATTCGTCCTTTTCAGTCATGCATTCTATGTTTATAGTTCCTCAAGTGAATAGTGTGTTCCTTGTAACTGTGTATTTCTTTGGCATTTTAATTTCAGAGTTGTTTGGAAAGTCTTAAAAATATGTTGCCTAGGCTGGGCATGGTGGTTCACGCCTGTAATCCTAGCACTCTGGGAGGCTGAAGCAGGTGGATTGCCTGAGCTCACAGGTTCCATACTAGCCTGAGCAAGAGCGAGACCCCGCCACTAAAAATAGCCCAGCATGTGGTGGGCACCTGTAGTCTTAGCTACTTGGGAGGCTGAGGCGAGAAATTGCTTGAGCCCAAGAGTTTGAAGTTGCTCTGAGCTATGATGTCACAGCACTCTACACAGGGTGACACAATGAGACTCTGTCTCAAAAAAAAAAAAGTGTGTGTGTATATATATATGTACACACACACACATAAATACATATAATCTACTTAGTCCATTTTTTTTAAAGCTCTTTTTTCAAGGGAGATCTTATCGTAATGCATTGAATGTTTCTTTCTTGAAACATCCAAAGTGGTTCTGACATTCTGACAAGTAAGTCTATTTAGTAAAAATAATGATTCAAGGACAATTAAGGGTCAAACTGACGTGCCCTGTTTAGATTTTACTGTGGGCATCATTGCTAATACTTGAAATGAGATCTAGATAGACATTGACACAGACACTCCACCATGTGATATTTTCGTTTTTTGTTTTTGTTTTCAAATTCAAATAATGTATTGATTTTAAATGAAGCCATACATGTGTAATGTATTTAAGATATGAAGTACTTGGACCAGTGGCAGCCTTGTATATTTATGTTAGCATCCTATTATTCAGTCTCCTTGTTTGGCATGATTGCTCTTTAATTGATTATAAAATATGGAGGGAAATTGAAGAAACGATTTGATTTCTGAATTCAGTGGATTATGGGGTGTTTCTCATGTATACATTGATTAATAACTTGATGGCATTCTCTATAAACCTGCAATCCCCGCCCCCCATCCCCAGTACAACAGAGTATAATCAGTTTACATAGGAGGTTGGAAAACTAAGTTCGTGAACTCGTCCTAGAAAAAGTGCTACACACCTCGTTGCTGAGTATCACTGTGGTCACCGCTCAGGTCCTCCCCTTGTCAGGAAGCTCTGCATAGCGCCAGGGCCTAGTCTGCCCTTCAAAGCATTTGGAACTCTTTTTCTGGAATGGTCATCAGAGCTATTGTCATTTGGAGATCTGATAATTAAGTTCACAAATTCATCCTCCTAAAATTGTTACATACCTCATTGCTGAATGTCACTATGATTATCAGATGGCCAACGGGAATACTTGAAAGGTGACTGTAGTAGTACTTAGTAATGAGGTATTCTAGTTTTTCTAGGATGAGTTTGTGAACTTAATTGTCAGACCTTGTATATGCCTCACAACAGTCCTTCATTATAATACAGTTAAACATACACTTTTTTTCCTTTATAGTTCACCTTCAGAAATTCTTTCTTACCCAGAGGTCATACAGATAGTCTTCCTTAAATTAGCAACTAAAACCTTAAATAGATCACTCGAGCCCAGGTCCCAGCAACAGCCACACACAGCACAGCGCATTCAGGAACAGGAGCAGCAGCGGAGGCGGCAGCCACAGCAGCTGGCGGGCGTTGGAAAGACCCCAAGTGAAAAGCCCGGGAGGGCCACCGAGCTACCCTGGAGGAGAAGCCAGTCCGAAGCCAAGGCGCCACCAACATATAAGCAGCGCAAAGCAGTATCAGATGCCTTCATGGCCCACTCACCAGTGGCCGTCCAAGTGCCTGGGATGCAGAATAATATAGCTGATCCAGAAGAATTGTTCACAAAATTAGAACGCATTGGGAAAGGCTCATTTGGACAAGTTTTCAAAGGAATTAATAACCGTACTCAGCAAGTGGTTGTTAATAAAATC